TATGCAGATGATACCACTCTGGTGGCAGAAAGTGAGGAGGAATTAAAGAACCTTTTAATGAGGGTGAAAGAGGAGAGCACAAAAAATGCTCAACATCAAAAAAAAAAAAAACTAAGATCATGGCCCCTGGTCCCATCACCTCCTGGCAAATAGAAGGGGAAGATATGGAGGCAGTGACAGAATTTACCTTCTTGGGCTCCATGATCACTGCAGATGGTGACAGCAGCCATTAAATTAAAAGACGCCTGCTTCTTGGGAGGAAAGCGATGACAAACCTAGACAGCATCTTAAAAAGCAGAGACATCACCTTGCCAACAAAAGTCCGAATAGTCAAAGCTATGGTTTTTTCCAGTAGTGATGTATGGAAGTGAGAGCTGGACCATAAAGAAGGCTGACCGCCGAAGAACTGATGCTTTTGAATTGTGGTGCTGGAGGAGACTCTTGAGATTCCCCTGGACTGCAAGGAGAACAAACCTATCAATTCTAAAGGAAATCAATCCTGAGCGCTCACTGGAAGGACAGATTCTGAAACTGAGGCTCCAATACTTTGGCCATCTCATGAGAAGAGAAGACTCCCTAGAAAAGACTCTGATGTTGGGAAAGCATGAAGGCACGAGGAGAAGGGGATGAGAGAGGACAAGATGGTTTAACAGTGTCTCCGAAGCTGCCAGCATGAATTTGACGTAACTCCAGGAGGCAATGGAAGACAGGAGGGCCTGGCATGCTCTGGTCCATGGGGTCACAAAGAGTCGGACACGACTGAATGACTAAACAACAACAACAACAATGTGGTAGGCAGGATAAACAAACACAGCATCTTACCTGAACACCTGTCTTCTTTATGAATTCTTCATCTTCAAACCAAAGCTGCAGGCAACAGTCCAATGCCATTTCAGTGTTTTAAAAATATTTATTTTTATAATAACTTGGAATCCCAGTTAAATGCAGACATCATTCAACTCACTCTGCCAAACGGGCATTTAATCAGATCTCAAAGAGAATATTTTACCTACAACTTTGTGTGGCTATTTATTTGACTTTTCAGGAAACAAATTTTTGCTAGATCCTTCAATGCTATCTGAATGAGCACTACATTTGCAACTGAATTAAAAATTCAGAAGGCAAAGAGCATGCTCAGAGGAACATTCCAGCAACACTCCTCTCCCAACTTGCCATTCTGACTCTTGCTTAACTTTCAACTCAGCAACCTTCTGATCATTAATTGTTGACTATTAAATGGATAATGAAGCATGCCATTTGCTCTGGTAATGATATAAACGTGCTTTTGCTGCTCTAACTCTGAGGGAGCAGGAAGAATGCCCAAATGACTACGGAAGGCATGCTTTTGGGCCCCTTGGTACCTCTCTTTGAAAAAGTAGTTCAGACAACAGTGGTTAATTTTATTCGGCCTTCATATTGAAATTGCTCATTATGTTTACTGTTCAAATGGAATCACTACAAAGTGCTGCTCATTAATTCCTGATTAGATTCAAATGACTTCTCTTAATGGTATGTGGGATGGCTCATGTTCTCTGCTGACTAGGTGTCTCTGCCGTCTGTCTTATGTACTGAAAGGATGCTGGCTATGCTTGTTAGCCCACTGTGGAAACAGATGTCATGTGTAACTATGAAAATTAAAGGAGATAGGGTGCAGCAGAGCGATATAAGCCTCTCACAGAATGAACCTAGGAGCCGCAGGCTGGGAGCTTGTTTTCTGATGGTCACGTTTTTTTCACCTGAACAGAGACTCTGCCACTGGAACACTTGCTAATAGGTAACTCTGCACCTCTTGAGGACATACAACGGCATGGAGGAGTGTCTCACATTTGCATACAACTTCTGTTTAAGAGTTTAAATTGGCTCTAAGGGAAGTCACTTCCAAGGGCTTATTTTCCCCAAAAGAGAATGAAACAACATGTTATGGCAACTGCTCCACTTCATAAAACTAAATCTTATGCCATGACGAGCTGCAGACACTTCCCCAATCACCTTGGGACATGAAAACATGGACTAAATCACTGTGCCTTGTTGTTAGCCATGCTTTCTAAGGCACACTTGACTTCACTCTCCAGGATGTGTGGCTCAAGGTCAGCAACCATACTATCTGGGTTGTCTGGGACATCCAGTTCTTTCTGGTATAATTCCTCTTTGTATTCTTGCCACCTCTTCTTAATGTCTTCTGCTTCTGTAAGGTCCCTATCATTTTTGTCCTTTATCATGTTCAACTTTGCACAAAATGTTCCTCTAATATCTCCAATTTTCCTGAACAGATCTCTGGTTTTTCCTTTTCTGTTATTTTCCTCTATTTCTTTGCACTGTTCGTTTAAGAAGGCCCTCTTGTCTCTCCTTGCTATTCTTTGGAAGTCTGCATTCAATTTTCTGTAACTTTCCCTATCTCCCTTGCATTTTGTTTCCCTTTTCCTCTCTGCTATTTCTAAGGCCTCGTTGGACAGCCACTTTGCTTTCTTGTGTTTCCTTTTCTTTGGGATCCATAGTTCTTCAGGTACTCTCTCCACCAAATCTAGTTCCTTAAATCTGTTCTTCACTTCCACTGTGTATTCATAAGGGATTTCGTTTAGATTATACCTGACTAGCCCAGTGGTTTTTCCTACTTTCTTCAGTTTAAGCTTGAATTTTGCTATAAGAAGCTGATGATCAGAGCCACAATCAGCTCCAGGTCTTGTTTTTGCTGACTGTATAGAGCTTCTCCATCTTTGGCTGCAGAGAACGTAATCAATCTGATTTTGAAATTGCCCATCTGGTGATTCCCATGTGTAGAGTTGCCTATTGTGTTGTTGGAAAAGAGTGTTTGTGATGATCAGCTTGTTCTCTTGACAAAACTCTATTAGCCTTTGCCCTGCTTGGTTTTGAACTCCAAGGCCAAACTTACCTGTTGTTCCTTTTATCTCTTGATTCCCTACTTTAGCATTCCAGTCCCCTGTAATGACAAGAACATCTTTCTTTGGTGTCAGTTCTAGAAGGTGTTGTAAGTCTTCATAGAATTGGTCAATTTCAGCCTCTTCAGCATTGGTGGTTGGTGCATAAACTTGGATTACTGTGATGTTGAAAGGTCTGCCTTGTGTTTGTATTGAAATCATTCCATCATTTTTGAGATTATATCCCAGTACAGCTTTTCCTGCTCTTTTGTTGACTAGGAGGGCTACTCCATTTCTTCTATGGGATTCTTGCCCACAATAGTAGATACGATAATCATCTGAATTGAATTTGCCCATTCCCGTCCATTTTAATTCACTGACACCCAGTATGACAATGTTTATTCTTGCCATCTGTTTCACCACCTCCAGCTTCCCAAGGTTCATAGATCTTACATTCCAGGTTCCTATGCAGTATTTTTCTTTGCAGCATTGGATTTTCCTTTCACTTCCAGGCACGTCCACAGCTGAGCGTCCTTTCGGCTTTGGCCCAACCACTTCATTAGCTCTGGAGCTATTTGGGATGGGGCAAGAATCCTAAAACAAAGGGACTCTGGAGCTCAGGAGCAGCAAAGCAGTCAACACAACACAACCAAAGACCTTTGTTGCTTAGGCAAGTTCTGGGAGGGAGAACTACTCCTTAAATAGACCTTTTCATGATGTGCTCAGCAGTATGACAGTCTCAGTTTCTCTGCCAGTCCAAGATATCCACAAAGCTCTCCTTCAGTACCATATTTCAAAAGAATCCATTTTGGGTTTTTTTTCCCTGTCAGAGTTCTTCAACATCCAGCTTCCCATACATAGTGATTGGGAATAAAAGAATATGAGTGATCTTGGTCATGGTCTCTGGTAACACTTCCTTACACTTGACGATACTTTCTAATTCCTTCATTGCTGCTTTTCCGAGTCACAGGCTTGGATTTCTTCGATGCAGTCTCCATTTGAATTGGTGATTGAACCAAAGTATACAAAATCTTTAACAATTCCATTTTCTTCATTGCCAGCATTAAAGTGGTGTGGTTCTTCTGCAGTCATGATTTTCATCTTCTTCATATTCAGGTGCAGTCCTGAATTTGACACTTTCTTCCTTTACTTTACAGTGTGACGTGGTGGTGCTGCGGGCTAAACCGCAGAAGCCTTTGTGTGCTGCAGGGTCAGAAGACCAGCAGTCGTAAGATCGAATCCATGCGATGGAGTGAGCTCCCGTTGCTTTGTCCCAGCTCCTCGCCAACCTAGCAGTTCGAAAGCATGTAAATGCAAGTAGATAAATAGGTACCACCTCGGTGGGCAGGTAGACAGTGTTCCGTGTATAGCCGCACTGGCCACGTGACAACGGAAACTGTCTTCGGACAAATGCTGGCTCTACGGCTTGGAAACGGGGATGAGCACCGCCCCCTAGAGTCGAACATGACTGGGATCAAATGTCAAGGGGAACCTTTACCTTCCTTTACTTTCACTAAAAATCATTTCAGGTCATTGCTGCTTTCTGTCAGAAAGATGGCATCATCTGCATATCTTATTGATATCAGGAAAATATCCAAAGAAACAAAACAAAACAAAATTTTAAAGACAAAAACATTTGGCACCTTAAAGACTAACTATTATATTTTAATGTGAGCTTTCGTAAACAAATGTATTTTGTCAGATGTATGGGGAAAAAATGAAATGCTGGACGAAATACGAATCCAGCATTTCATTTTGCCTCATATGTTTCCACAGACTAACACAGATAACACTTCTAAATTATTGATGTTTCTTCTATCAGTTTTCAGTCCTTCATCTGCATCTAATCCTGCTTTACATACTATATGTTCTGCATACAAACTGAACAGATAGACAGATAAAACAACAATAATGCTGAGGAAAGTTGATGGCAGTACAAAAAAGAAAGACACAGCATGGAATGACTGAAAAAGACCTGAACAGGACCTTTTCGGAATACTGTATGTCAGAAATGACTTGATGTCACCTAGCAATACAGGAGTGTTGTCTGTGGGACAATTTTGAACAACCACTGATAAATCTAAAACAAAAAAATCCATGGTCTGAGACCAGAAGTATTTCAGTCTTGGAGAAAGAGATCTAATCCAGGATCCTCACCTCCAAGAACTATAGAAGAATATTACTGCTTACTTTCCTGTGGCTCTTATGTTGGAGGGAGGGGGAGAAGAGGAAGGATTATGGGCATTGCTGGGCATAGTGGTGGAACCTTTGGATTAGCTTGATTTAAAGTTCTCACACTCCTTGATCAAGCTGAACATATAGACAAGTTGTGAAACTGGTCTGAATTCATTCAGTTCAATCTGTTTGCAAACAAGAAAATTGGGTTTATAAAGGGGGGGGAGATCAAGGAAAAGACTGTGAATATTGTTCCTGCCTTTCTTCTGCCCTTCCAATAAGTACATAGGACAGTAGTCATAACTTTGGACCACTCAACTGCCATCTATAAGATTATCCTGTTGATTGGTTAGTCTTTGTATATACCCCAACTACAAACATGTCTCCAGATGGTATAATAGCAGCAGTGGCAGCAACAACAGGAGCAGCAGCAACTACAATTGAGTGATTGTTTTCTGAAAACTAGTGGGGGGGGTTGGGGTATGTGTGTGAAATTATCAGTCTTTGTTGCCCAATCGTGGGCAACCCTAGCTGAGGCTGTTCTGCCAGCTCAGATGTGTACCCTGGTCTACTAAAGCAAAGTGCTTAACAAATGTTTCTGTCCTTGCTCTTAAGCCTAGGCCCACCTGAGTGATAATTATATAGCAACAGCAATAGGAACAGTCTGAAAAAATAAGCTAAAATGGATCATTAGACTCAATTATAAACCAGTGGATTTAACAGAGGACTCATTAGACTTTCTGATCATTAGGATGGTGAAAGTTTCTCTTTGCATGATGATCTTATTGTAATTGTTCCATTTCTAGTCTCTTTGTATTTGAACACCGAAATAAAATAAGATATGCAAGTGATCTGTGTGTAAGATCGTAGATTATAGAACAAGCTAGGAATGTATTATCTCTGGCTGCCAGAGAGGGCAATAGATTTCATACTATTGTAAAGAAAGTACTGGAAGGCAAGATCAATCCTTATTCACACATTACTCACCATTTCTAGTCAACATATAAGAAACAGTGTTTAAATGTTTTCACATAAGAGTGTTCAGCCAGCACTCTCTCTGTTTAATGCAAATGCTAATAATACACAAAGGCTGACTTACTGAGCAAAGTTGCTCTATAGACTGGGCTTTTGTTTATTAATCCAAACAGTAATTTAGCATGTCGAAAAGAAAGTGCTTAATCAAGGTCTCCACAGGACATACAATGGAAAAAAAATGCCCAGTATTCTTCCTAAATACAAATGTATTACATTTATAGAACCTGCTGGGAATATGCGTTTATTTAGTTAACATCTGTTAGATCCTCTGACAGAAAACTGAACATATGATTAACTGAATTCCTCTCTGTGTGTCTCTCTCCTTCTCTATCACCTTCTTTCTTTTTACTAGATGCAAAAGATATTTGAGAAACTTACAGGATTCAAAGAAATTCGCGTGTTAGGATTTAGGTAAGTGCTAGTACAATTCACTTCTAGCTAGAAACAATATTTCTTTATGACTAACTGGAACCAACAAGAAGACAAAAAACATTTGTTACCAAGTAGCATTTCATAATCCTGTAAATTTTGTTTTTTAAACTGGAAGGAAAACTGGATGAGATACAACTGTTTCTAAATAACCTTTGGATGACTGAAGAAAGATATTCAGAATTTTCTGTGAAAATAAGTTATTTCAAAAGATTGCACATCTGCCATTTCTTAATTATGTTGCAGCATGCATACGTAGTTTGTTTTACAATTATTATTTTTCTTTCTTAGTTTGTTCAGTATGCTCTTTATCGATCTTTCAGTACTATGGTCTGCCTGAGGCAGTTTACAGTACAATTTGGTATCAGACAAAATATAGCAACACTGTAAATTTAAACAATTTGAAAACAAACCACTTACTAATACTTCATGTGTAATAAATTTCAAATATCAAACAACAGGAAAAGGCAGAGAGAACAAGTATATTTTTAAAGCCTTCTTAATATATCTTGGGAGAGGGCATTCCTTAGGGTAATTGTGAAAGCTACAGTAAGAGCAAGTGTAATTTCAGTATGGAATTACAGCAGACCTCCACATTCATAACTTCATTGGTTCCCCATTGATGCCAGGAAGTAAACTGTTGTAAGTTACCCATACACGATTGTCAAGCCTCCATTCCACTCTCTTCTCCTCTTTTCTCCATTCTTATCTTCTTCCCATTTCATCCCCCGCCATCTTGCTTGCTCTATGTCTCTGTCTCTGATGGTCTCTCTTCTTCCATCTTTCTTCCATTGCTTGGCTTGCTCCTTCTAACCCCCTCTGCAGGTCTTCCTCTTTTCCTATCCATGTTCTGCAGTCTTACTTGCTTCTTCTGTCTCCCACGGCTGCCTTCTGCTTTCATCCATCTGTCCTACACGGTCTCTTGCTCCTTCTCTACCAGTCTGTTACCTTCATTCTGCCTCTGTTTCTTCTGTATTCATATTTCCTGACATCATTGTGCCAGTTATAGAGATCATAATACTGAGTCTTGTATCCTAGAGGAATGGCATTGGGTGACATTGGTCATAAGAGCATGGAATCATAAAGCAAGCCATCTTATGTTGTGGATCTGCTGTAGATGCAGGAGTGCAAATCTTGTAAATGAATCACCATTCTGCTGATGAATTAAAACCTACTGGAAACAAGAAGGGTGCTGGGGAGGGGGGACAGGAGAAACAATACTCTTAGCTCACCTTGGTATCATTCCAGTCCACGGCTATGACCAGAGTGTACATGGAAAGTTTCCTCTTGTCATCCCAAGAGAAAACTTTCTATGTGCCCACTGGAAAAATCTGGCAGGCAACTTCTGTTTATGAAACTCCTTCTGTCAGTAGACACTGGAGGGGAACAAGGTGCCACCCCTACTTCAGCTCCTCCTGTACTGCCATACTACCTCTGTCTGTCGCCCCCACTTTACCCTGTAAGCTCAGCTGGATATGGCAAAACTCAAATGAGTTGGAATCTGTTGAGTTCCGATGTCAGGAAACTGCTGTGTTTTATTTCTCCCATTGCAACCTCCGCTGTCCAACATCAAACACCATGGGGGAACCCAGGGCTGAATATTTTTCTTGGTACTGGATTCTTGAGTCCTTTACAGCAGCTGGATAGCTCGGTGGTTTAGGTCTCTGGCTGCGGAGACAGAACTTGGGAGTTCAATTTCCCACTGGGCCTCCTTGAGAGAAGCTGGACTTGATGATCCAGAGGGTCCCTTCCATCTCTACAGTTCTAAGATTACTGCTATTATAAGCAAGCAAGCCCATCCATGGAAGATTGTTGGCTGCCACAGTGAAACTGGAGAGGAAGGGACAGGGGGTATAAGATTCCAACAGAAATGTTGTGGGGTAGGGGGCAGGGTTCTGGAGAAAGCTTTGCAAGCACTTTGCAGGTTTTGCAATGACCCAGTGGTGACTAAGAATGCAGTGAACATTCACACACTTTCTTTATTCTTGGGAAAAAAAATATGTGGTGTCTCACCACACTGAGTTACTAACCCCTTAGGATTTGTGTAGAAACCTTTTTTTCTTGCATGGCAGCTTGTATCTTGCCTTAATTAATAACCTTGAATTTTGTGGAGAATGCAAGTTTTCATGTGAAATCCAAGGTTTATTCGCAAAATACTCCATAATTTGGGTGGTGGGGCGTCCCAGAGTGCAAAATAATACACAAAATGCTTGTAATCTCACCTGGTGGGAGAAAACTTTTGAAAATCTTTACATGCAAGAATAAAATTAGTGATGATTTATGTTCCCTACTCAAAGCACCACACTGATAGCCCACTGAAGCCTAGAGTCTACACAGTAAGAATAAGGAATGTTTGTTAACAGCTGTACCATTACTACGAAAAATAAACTGGGAATATGGGAAGCTATCCTGTACTGAGTCAGTCCTTTGGTATATTTATCCTCTGGGATCCATCATAGGATCTCCATATTTTACATTTTGTGGTTAGGAGCGGGTACTCAAAGGGAGCAGCTTGCTTAAAACTACCCTTTTTCCCCCAAAATAAGACCTAACCTGAAAATAAGCGCCAGTATAATTTTTCAGGATGCTCGTGATATAATCCCTACCCCAAAAATAAACCCCAGTTAAGTGAAACTCTGCCCTCCACCCTTGTGCAGCAACCAGAATATGACATGACTGTGTTTGTATAAATGTAGATGGTTGTACCTGAAAAAAATAAAATAAAACATTCCCTGAAAATAAGCCCTAATGTGTTTTTGGAGCAAAAATTAATATAAGGCCCTGTCTTATTTTTGGGAAAACATGATACCTAGCAAGTCTATGACTGAAGTGAAATTTCTGACACAGTGGTGGCTGATGTGGGTACTTTTGATACAGAAAGTGAGGGAGGCTGGACGTGGTGTTAAAATTAGGAGTTATGCATGACAGGAAAAGCTATGGTCTTCTGGCCCTATCAAAATTATAGTTGAAGAGATAAATACTGGAAGAGGGAGGGGCTGAAAATATCCAGTAAATCTTGCATGCAGCTTCTCCAGCACTCTGATGGTTTTAACATTTTAGTGAAGATCACAATATTTAACAAAGCAACACACACATATGCACACACACATAAACCACTTTGGGTACTGAAGTAAATTATTTGTTATAGTTTCTCAGACAGTATTTCTACACCTTTGGTTTTCACACACTCAAAGATTATTCTGTTCAAACAACATAAAAAGAACTGTAAATGGGTGTCATAAAGGTGATTTTGTTTTTAACTGTAACAAAGGCAGATGCTTCTGTCTTTTTCTTTACTTCCTCTTGCTTACAGGGTGTGTGCTGTTGCTTAGCATTTGGTATGTAAGCAAGGCAAAACAGGAGTTAAAATACAAAACAAACCAAAGAAGACAACCCCTCCAGTTCTGCACTAGCAGTAGCCAAGAAGCCAAACTGCAATTAAAAAAAAAATAAGGGAACAAATTTTAGCATGCACTAGATGCAACATATAGCAGGGAAATATCATTATGTCATAGCTGGATAGCTCAGTGGTTTAGGTATCTGGCTGCAATGCCAGAGGAGTTTGGATTCCCCACTGTGCCTCCTGAGAGAAGAGCCAGCCTGTGTGGCCTTGGGCAAGCTGCACAGTCCCAGGATGACAACGGGAGAAGGAAAGGGTAAACCACCTCTGAGTATCCTCTACCTGGAAAATCCTGAAAAAGAATAGCCATAAGTCATAATTGACTTGACAGCACATGGCTATTATTAATATAACAAACAGAACCACAGGGAGCCATCTTATGTAGCAACGATTGCCTGAAGCATCAAGGAATGCAAATAAATGCCAAATAGATGTGCTATTTGTGTTTAGGGAAGAGTATCTCAGAATCTCACAGAGGATTTAAAAACTTTATTTATTCATTTGTTACATTAACATCCCATCTTCCCTCCAGTGAGCTCAAGGTGGTTTGGCTGGCTCTCTTCCTCCCACCTCAGCCCTGTGAAGTAGGTTAGACTGAGGGAAATAGAGCGACTGTTTCACGCTTAACCCCATGAGCTTCACGGCTGAGGGGAGACTTGAACCCTGATCTCCCAATTCTCCCATCTAGCATCACTTGCTACCTATGATTTGAACTTTGCCGGAGTGTGCGAGTCTTTGGGTTCTCCAGAGCCTGCCTGCTCTTGCTGGCCTTATATTATCCCTTTCGATATGTAAGGGTTGAAGACTGGCTAATTTATGATGCTATCCCGCACAAAGATCCTTTGTGCCTATTGCTGAACATGGCAACGGTAGCCATCTTGATGACTGCTAGGGAGGGGGGGTGGAATACGGGTCTTTGTTTTGGTACCCTCTCTTGCATACATTGTTAGCTGGTAAAGAGAAGGCTGCTGTCCACCAGCAGAGGCAGCTGAAGAGCTCCTCATTTGGCCTGGACGTTTTTGCCAGGCAAACAAAGAGGGGACAGTATTACAAAATGTCACAGCAGGACACGGCCTCAAGAAGTGTGCATAGTCAGAACAATTATTAGGTCAGGTTACTGTGGCCTCGATTTGGATGGCAGCCAAGCGGAGCCAATCCCAGCTTCTTCTCTTGCCACAGGAAAGGTACAGATTAGCAGCCACTGTGATGCAAATAGTGACCCAGGAGAGGGAGAGGGAACAGAAAGGCAGGAGAGCGCATGTGGGAGGGGGAACCTCAGGAAAGTTTTTGTTGCTATATGGAGGGAGATAAAGCGTCATATATTTTAAAAATTGTAATCATTTTGTTCAGACTGTCTTTCTCAGCCAGAAATGACAATGGGAAAAGATACAGAATATGCTAGTAATTGATATGTTATATGCTCTATATGTGTGTGTGTGTGTGTTTACGGACTTTTTAACGGTCTCGTGTTTTTCTTTTCTTTTCTTTTGTCTGACACCCTCCACTCTGTCCTGCCTTTTGATACGGAACTGAAGACAGAAGAAGGAGAAAGATGGGTAACTTCCCTGCAGGGTTTTGTTTTCCTTTGTTTTGTTTTTTGATATGATGGTATGCAGTGTGTTTTGACATACTGTGTGGTTTAACAGCAGGGATGCTGCGAAAGAATTCCCTTAGTGTAAAGATAACAGTACCCAGAAGGCACACACAGACCGCTTCCGCCTAAGCCAATGTGCTTTGTCGGTAGAATAATATTGGTATGAACAACAAATGATAGCCTCCCCAGCACAAAATAGGCATCGGCCTCGTTTGCATGGGATACCTAGCCAGTCTTTTGTAATACATGGGTAAGCTGTGATCCTCAACAAAGCCTTGGGCTCCTGTTTTCTCATTTCACTGTTTTCCCCTTACACTGGTGGTGGTGGTGAGTTATATAGGTTTGCTTTACTTGATTTCCTGAGGTGTCCTTATGTATAAACTGGGACTCATTGGCATGATAAATTTTCATTTTTGAAGCAAACTAGCTAAGCAGTTTTGCTTTACTCTTGCCATGTTTAACCACTTGGAAGAGTTTGCTTTAAACCAGGGACAGGAAAGTGGATGGAATCTAGGGCTGGTTAGTATCATATGGGTTTGTGGTGACTCTCAGCGCAAGATCCGTCCCTCTCTGATTGACTAACCTGACACATCCCTGATACTGGTTTTTCTTTTCTGCTTGCATTTCCTACTGGGCACACAAGCTTGGCGGGATGGGGACAATCTTACTGCTGTCTCCAATACCAGAGTGAAGATAACAACAGGATTTCACCAGCAAAAACTTGCCTTCCCAGTTGGGTATGCAAGCTGCACGCAGGGAAGTCTCCACGCCATAGGGGATGGAGCTTCAGTGAAAGACAGGGGCATCCCACAGTTCACTGGTGGGGTGAAGCAGGATGCTTCATGGGTCCGATTAGTCTCACAAGCAAGAGATTCTGCTCTGATTAAGTTAGAAACAAGGTGGAAGCCAGAGAAAGCAAGTTGAAGGTCAGTTAAGTTCTTCATGCAGAAGGAATGGGGTGGGCTGGGTGGGAGGAACTTTGCATAGGCCCGAATTTATATTATGTAAAAAAAAAAAACCTGACTTTTTCTTCTTCTTTTGTACTCCTCTTTGCGGGCATTATACAGAAATCACAGAGCCCTCCACTGTAAAACCAGATAGCTATAATGAGATGAAAAGAGAACAAAGTAAATAAAACATACACTTCTCTTTCGAAAATGTCTTGCTCAGAAACAGACTCACAGACTCCTTTCAGGCCTCCTTGAAATTCAGCTGGGAGGTCAGTTCTCATTTGACTCACAAAAAGAAACTCTTCAAGGGATAGATTTTTCAGAGCCCTTAGGTGCTTACCAAGGAACTATTGATTTTCAATGTATAATTTGAAATATTTTTGAAGGCTTATTTTCCCTCATTGGGTTTGCCATAGAGTGTGCTAGACAAAACACATTTTTGTATCTCCTGTTCCCATTTGATGTTTCTATTGCAGAGCAGTTTCACGCCCAAATGTTTCAGAAATGTTTGTGTGCCTGTGTGACTTTTTTTCTAGCTGAAAAGGATGGAAGATACATTGCCTAAGAGTAGAAGAACACTATCCAAATCCTAAACATTTGCAGGGACATCATTGCCCTGTTGTGGTAATGTGGGTGCATTCTGTAAAGCTGTTGACCTGGCCTTTCTGACTTTTTCAAATAAGAAAATATGCCCCTTACCCTGGAATGCTTTAGCATTACAAACAAGGAATTTGTGGTCCGCTTGGGACTGCATAGCAGCAAAGAGTATTGTAATTACTCACTCCCTTCCTTACAGGACTGGCCCAATACAGTTTACTGCCTAAAAATAGTACTAAACCAGGCATCTTTTTGCTCACTCATATTGAGGTGAGCAGCTGTCCAGGATTTGTTTTGGCACAGGAGGCGCATACGTCCTGAAGCATGCCTCCCCATACCTACTAACAACAGAAATACAAGAATAATATTAAATGCCTAATGTGTTTGCTGTCCTTCATGTTACCAAAAACCTGATGTTTGAAGCACATGCCTCACATGCATAATAATACTGCTGGCCCTGCTTCCTTATTATTTTCTGTGAATCCCAATACAGAACATGGCTTCTGTCTTGCATTTTTTAAAATTGATGTGCCCATCCTTAAATGCATACATGCTGATGTGCAGGTGGAATATAACTGCCTCTGTTTCATTGTCAAATGTTCAACTCCTGTCTAGGAGACGGTGGCATGATAGCCTCATTACACATGAGGAATATAAGAGGTTGCCTTGCTGTCCGGGATTCATCCATGTGTAGAGAGTTATCAGAAAGAAACCAGGGGCAGTGGGTCTGTGTCAGCATTGGAAGGGTTCTGTTTTCAGAGGCTTTGGCAGTTCCAGTTTTTATTTTTCACAGGATGCCTATGTGCTTATGCACCTGAGAAGTTATATGAGGGAATGTTTAGCTTTACACACACACACACATGTGTGTGTGTATTCCATGACTAACTACATTATTGTCTAAATCAGTGGTTCTTAACCTTGGGTTACTCAGGAGTTTTGGACTGCAACTCCCAGAAGCCTTCAGCACCAGCTGTGCTGGCTGGGGTTTCTGGGAGTTATTATTATTTATTTAATTTATATCCCACCTATCTGAATCACATAGGACCACTCTAGGCCCTAGAGTGATCCAAGGTTAAGAACCACTGGTCTAAACCAGTTGCACCCCAGTGCATTGCCCTCAGAAAAGTGATTTCTGTTTCATAAATGCTGTGTTTTGGGAAGATATATCCATGCAAATGATGCTCTTTTTATTGTGTTAAAAATATCTGAAGAATTTAAATGCTATTTTAAAAAAAGATTTAAGGGGGCAGAATTCACTTATGGTGTCTTCTCCTTTGCAGATAACTAAGTGTCTGTCAACCCTGAGAAGCAAAAAGTATAGTTTTATTTCTCTTATATAATTAATTGTTTCTCATTCTGTGTAGATTAAATCCACTTTCCCATTGATGTGTAGGCTACCTGGGAAAGGGGTTTGCCCTCAGAAAAGTGATTTCTGTTTCATAAATGCCGTGTTTTGGGAAGATATATCCATGCAAATGATGCTCTTTTTATTGTGTTAAAAATATCTGAAGAATTTAAATGCTATTTTAAAAAAAGATTTAAGGGGGCAGAATTCACTTATGGTGTCTTCTCCTTTGCAGATAACTAAGTGTCTGTCAACCCTGAGAAGCAAAAAGTATAGTTTTATTTATCTTATATAATTAATTGTTTCTCATTCTGTGTAGATTAAATCCACTTTCCCATTGATGTGTAGGCTACCTGGCAAAGGGGTTTTCATTAATACAGTCAAACTAACCTTATAAGATGGTTATTGTGGGTTTTTCAGGCTGTTCGGCTGTGTTCTGAAGGTTGTTCTTCCTAATGTTTGTGAGATTATAAGATTTGACCTTATAAGATTTGGGCGAATCATTTTGCGAGAGAGTCTGGAAACTGAATCATTGACAAGGACTTCTGGCCTGTCCCTATCCCTTATACAAATTTGGATTGGGTTTAGTACAAAATCTAGGCTAGAAGCTGTTGCTTTTTAAATCAGCAAGTTAGCCAATCAATCATCTAGGTATACATGGGTGTCCCATTATTTTCCCCATTATATTTTCTGTTTAAAATAACAGTTCAATTTGTAACAATTTGGACAGCAGTTTCCAGAACATGTGAAGGGAACAGACCAGGTTAGAGTGTGCTGTGGCCACCATGTTGCAGCACCTCACAGAAAATCCCCATTCTCTCTAGCAGTTACTGCCTCACTGACTATGGCAATGTAAAAGCGTTTCTCATAGACTTCTTTCTTCTTCTTGCACCACAGGACAAGCAGCACCGTAGCAAGGTATGTTGTCAACTTTGAGAGAGACAAGTCTGACATTAAGCGTCCTGAGGATGACATTTCAACTATTGGCTCCAACAAAGTTGAAAATGAGAAAGGTCCTCTTGGCATGGAGGAGGAGATCCCTGCAGTTAAACCCAAAGTGACAGACCTTCAGCAGATGGTTGCTATGGCGCTACAAGAAGACAAGTCACTCTCCATGGACCTTGGAACACTTCAGTTTAGTGACAGTGAGTTCATTGAAATTTAACTTTTGTGAAATAGGGACACAACAGGGAGTGACTGTGCCCAATAGAGGTCCCAATGTCCTTGCAAAATGATGGGATGTTCATATGGCTCAGGTGCCTTGCCTAGTTTTTGATACACTTATTCCTTGGAGAAAGGGAAGGAATCTGTAAATTTACCCTTCCTGATGCTTGGCCCTTCTGCATCTCTTTATCTGTCTTAGTTAACATTATGTCACTTGAAACACCTTGGCCAAAATCCTGTTGCACAGTGGCACCTGCATACCTTGAAGGTGCACAAGCCATTGCAAAATTTGCACAAGGTGGAAGTTGTATTCAGGAAGCATTTCCATGGCCAGAGTTATGAAACTAGATGTGCAATCAGTTGCTCAACTAGTTGTGCAATCAGACTCACAGGCTTTCTAGGCAGAACTCCTTGTGAAGTTCTGCAGGCATACCTTTATGTTATGGCATGTTCAATAGAATTGCAGCCATTGTTCTGAAAGTGAGATAAAGACCTTGTTAAAACTTTGATAGATGTCTACCTCAGATTCCTTATTCTGAAGGCAGATTTTTATGGGATATGTACATATATATCTATGCATCTAAATATATATATATGAACAAATGTGCACATACAAATCCAAATGTATATGCTATCTCACCCCAAGAATATTAGAACCATGATGAACAATGTGTTGTTTTAGACACTATCAAATTTGGGAGGGGGGCAAAAAAAGAAGCAGAAGTGTTTCATTCTTCCTGTTCTGCACTTTCCCCTGTGGTTTGTGAACTTTCTAATCTCTTTTAATTAGGAGATATAAAGTAGTGGAAGAATAATCATGTTTACTTATGTCAAATATATAGACAGCAATTTTCTTGCTACAAGACAGTCATAAGAATGAATCCATAACATACCATAAAATAAAAAATTCAGAAACTGAGAAGCATAATAATTCCAGAATTAGAAATTCAAAACCTGTTATTTATTTATTTGTTTATTTATTTATTAAATTTATACCCCGCCCATCTAGACCAAAGTCTACTCTGGGCGGCTAACAATAAAAAATGGAATAAAAACAATATAATAAAATAAAAAACAACAATAGTAATATAGTTTAAGATGGGGAAAAGGAAAAAATGCAAGTGACGACAGGAGGGAAAGCCTGCCTAAAGAGCCAGGTCTTTAGTTTGCTCTTAAAAACACCCACTGAGGGAACCAGACAGATCTTTGGAGGCAGAGTGTTCCAGAGGTGAGGGGCCACTGCTGAGAAGGCCCGGTTTCCTGTTCATTCACTCCAGGCCTCCCTCAGCGTTAGGCCCCTTAGCCATCCTTCCTGGCTAGAGTGAGTGGTTCAGGTAGATCTAGGTGGGAGGAGGCATTTGAAATCAATGCAGAAACGAATGGGCAGGCAGTGCAAGGCAGCCAGAGTGGGGGAAATATGCTAATATTTTCTCACCTCAGTGAGAAGACTGGCCACCGCATTCTGCACGATTTGAAGCTTCTGCATCAATCTCAAATGTAGCCCCACGTAAAGTGCATAACAGTAGTCATATATCTTGAAAAATTTTTTAGAATTGTCATAAGCTGGAAGCAGCTTACTGGGCCATAACAATAAATGTCAACTGTTAACGTTAATTTCAGAAACCATAAGAATGGCAAAGACCACGGCATGTGATACTTTGGTCAACATCGTTGCCTGCAAATGGTCAATAAATCCTGCAGTTGTCTGGAAATGTGGGATTTGTCATCTGTAAATTAATGACATCACTCTCCAAATCTTTAGATAGTCTTATTCAACAATTTCCTGTCTCTAAACAACCTCTTGTGAATATGAGATGAGTGCCGTCTTATATCATTGTACAAAAGTGCCATTAAATAAATAAATTGTAGGAATGAAACTGAAAAACCTACGAAATGCACAGCTAAACAAATTATTGTTTTAAGTGAATGCATTTCTTTTGCGTTTATTGCATGTCATAAGAGTTGCTACCTGAAGAGCTCCAGATTCAGGAACAGATTGTGGGATCATGAAAAAAAATGACATATTACACATGTCAGAATATTAGCAGTACTTTATTAGAATATGTTGCCTCTGTATTGCATTAAATTTAAGATCCTTTTTGGAGTCATGCTGTATCTAACATATTAATAAGATTCACAAATAAGGGTTTATTGCTGGAAAGAAGGAACGAATAGTGAGTCTAGGTGGTGCGGCCTGAAGCCTGACTGGAATGGATCCATGGCATTGGTTTCATCCAAAAGAGCCTGGAGTTAGTCAACCACCACCCTCTCTTTGCTAAGGAAAGAAACATTGGCGACGGGCCTATAATTACCAGTGTTGTCCGCCGCCAAACTTGGTTTCTTCCTTATGGGCCTAATGAGTGTCTCCTTGAGGGCAAGGAGAACCTTGCCATCCTGGAGAGACCCATTAATTATTACCGTGGCCCATTCGGTTGTTATAGGCCTGGCTGTTTGACTAGCCAGGCCGGGAAAGGGTCAAGGGAGGAGGCGGTGGCACGACAGTGGTCAAGCGCTTTGTCCACCATATCTGGCATCACAGGCTGAAAGAGATCAAGTCTCATCAGGCAAGGCAGAGCGCTGGACGTCTCTCCTCAATCTACTGTGTTCAAAAAAGAAGAGAGCTCCCCGGTGGATGGCGTCCACTTTAGCTTTTTAAAATGCTTCAAATTGGTCAGGTGAAACACTAGTAGGAGGCCTATCACTTAGACCAATTCCGGATAGATCGCAAACTATATGGAAAAGTTCTGTCTGCTGATTTGACGCTTCGCTTATCCGGACAGCAAAGTGAGCTTGACTGACAGCCCCCTCCTTAGTAAGGTAGTGGTTAGTTGGGATTCTGACAGCTTTCCGATTATAATCTGTCGGGTTCCATCTCCAAATGCACTCTATCCTTCTCCTGTTTTGCTTCATACCTCGCAGCTCTTGGTTAAACCAGGGCACTTGCCTTTTCCACTTCATCAAATTAACATTTGTTAAGTTGATGAAGTGAAAAGCTTATTCAATGATGCATGTATAAGCTGCTGATTTGACGCTTCGCTTATCCGGACAGCAAAGTGAGCTTGACTGACAGCCCCCTCCTTAGTAAGGTAGTGGTTAGTTGGGATTCTGACAGCTTTCCGATTATAATCTGTCGGGTTCCATCTCCAAATGCACTCTATCCTTCTCCTGTTCTGCTTCATACCTCTCAGCTCTTGGTTAAACCAGGGCACTGGCCTTTTCCACTTCATCAAATTAACATCTGTTAAGTTGATGAAGTGAAAACCTTATTCAATGATGCATGTATAAGCAGATTGGTTAAAAGCTTGTGTAAAGTTACACCCATGCACACAGATAATGTCATCAGCCCATGTTTTTATTGCTTCTTAAAAGTTTCCTATTCTGCCACCCACTACCCAGTGTCCAAGGCTCCCTCAGGATCTCCTTTGACCTGGAAAAGCTTTTGAGAGCCTCAGGATGGGGTAGCAGGAGAGGCTTTAATGCCCCCAAATGCCCAAAAATCGCTGCTAACAGTCTTGATATGGGATATGTAGATACCCTCCCTTTCTGATTTCAGGAAATATGGAGAGAATATGGGGAAAGAATCCTTTTAAGCCTGCAGGCTCCTGATCGTTTAACCCTTTAAAGATCAGAAGTAGCATTCTGAACTGAGCTCAGATGTGAAAAACCAGCCAGTGCAGTCAAGGCAAGACTGGGATTATCTTTTGCCTGGCCTGCTCCTGACCACAGATAAGCTGGTGCAGCTGAAGCATCTAAAGGCCTTGAGAAGCAATTCAACCTAGAGTAGGCTTCATTCATCAGAACAGCCATGAAAACATGGTTTAATGAGGTGAATTTTTGCTCTAAAAAAGGAATACATCCAGTTTACCAGTCTAAAAGGGACTCCTTATTCTGTTATTACCTGAGAATGGAAAGTTCAAAAGCATCCTGCCTCAAGTTGCCTTCATGTGTCTTATGCTTCAAGGCTTCATGTGAAAAAAAAATGATACCTAAACCACACTGGGATGATTAATTAGGCAGATTTGGGGATCTTATATAATGTGTGAACATTTTTTCCACATGTTTTATTAGATAGGACAGAAAATGGATTGAAATGCAAAATGGCTCATGCAGTGAACTGATTTGTTGTGAGGTAAAATGAATGAATCAATGGACCATTAAATCAATGAACGAATGAATCGCACATCCAGTACTCTTCACTAACAGAGCAAGGCAAATGTTGTACTTTTTACAAACCAGGAACCAAGCAAATATTTCCACCTCAACTGTCACATGAGGTCTTTTCAGAATCTCATGTACGTTAGATAGCCAGCTGGTCAAAGAACTAATGGGACCAGAACCAGAAAGGCATTCATTATCACTGCATTACCCAGTGCTTGGATCATATATTCTGTTTTAACCTGGTGAGGTTTTCTGAAACTCTGGAGAGGACGAAAAGGGTAGTGGGGATTTGGGATGCTCATAAATCTTGTCTCCATGCCCCTTCCCCCTCTAGATGTCAGTTCAGAACTTGCTGGGATGGCTCCTGATCAGCCAAACATGCTTGCAGGCTCCAGAGGTTTGGCTTCTACCCATACAATTTTCTGTCCAATCCATTTTCATATATAGACCAAAAAAATAAAATATGAGAGCTACAAATATGCACTGATAACTGCATGTATCAGGCAAATGTGCCACACTTGAGATTGCCTGGTGCATAAAGGAAAGGGTGTACCAAGTTCCAAGCCCGCCTGGTTTGGCTGCAAGGAAAGATTCAAAATGGTTGTGCTGTGAGGATATCTTGAAAGCTTTGAAGTGAAATAGCTTGCTTCACCTGGTTAAGTCAGAGAGAGCTCAACTCTCTACAGCTAGCACCATCTAGGTATTTAAAATTTAAATTAATATTGATAAACAATTTAAAAGGCTGCTTTGTCATGACATGTGTCATGCGGTATGTCTGCAGTTTACTGAACATCATTTTACATAACTTTGTCCAGACGTCAGCTGGCTGTGCACAATTTAGGCAATTGTACTGAAAAATGCTCCTTCACATTCCTTTTGTAACAGCCATTAGTGACGTAGACAACGATATCAAATCGATGGCAACAGACACTGCAACTGGACTTGGATTGGTGAGTAAATGGCCCTGCTTTTGTTCCACGAGGTAAGGGATACATCAAGAAAACAATGGAACAATTAATAACAAAAATAGAACTATGATTGTGAATATCAGTATCATCTTACAGTCACAGGCAGTTGCTGGTAATGCCATCTGTGATGAACAGCACACCTTCTTTGTCTGTGGCCACATCGTTTTGTGTGTTTCTATTTATTTATTTGCATTTGTTAATGCATGTATTGGTTGTGTATTTCCAAGCACTGTGACATCCCAAGTCCCTCCAGGTAGCTTCCGGATGTCACCCCCTCCCCACCCAAACCTTCTGTTTTATATTTTAATTTCCTGAATGCCAATGTAAATCATTTTGATGCATGAGGACAGAGCTGGATGTATCGTTTATTCTGCTTTCAAACACTTGGAAAAGGAGAGAGAATCATAGCTCATTTTCCCCAATACCTCAGCCTCTCATGATTTTATGGCCCTGTTCCTCCCAGTAGCACTGCATCACCCTCATCCTAGCATACATAATGGAAATGGAGAGGGATTAAATATTGACAGCTGAAGTGGAACTTGCGTGATTTGTTGCATGGAAATAAGAATGTGTTCATGGCACAGGTTCTTTTTTGATCCTGTGAAAATGCCCCCTAGCATATTTAATATTGCTTCCATCCTTTCAAGAAACACCTTGGCTGAAATCCAGTTGCACTTCTCCATGTGCTCAATGGAGATGATATCATCATCAGCAAATTGCTGCTGATTAAAAGGAAGGTTCATGAACCCAAAAATCCACAAAAGACTTTTAAAGAGTACTAGTTCACGGCGGCTGCTGATATCACTGCTGCACACACAGCTGCTCAACAGGATTTCAGCGAAAGTATATGTGCATACATACCTATCCGTGTGTGTGTGTGCGCGCGCATGCATGCGTGTGCACGTGCATGTGCTGCCAGTGACCATGGTGGCTAGGAGATTATTGGTCTTGTACTCCAAAACAGCAATTTTTGCAAGCTCTGGAATGTATGAGTGGACAAGTACAGATATAGATGCAGACAATCTTCTTTGAAACTGTTCATGCCATGGCCAACTTCTAATGCTACTTCACACATTTACAGGGAGGTTAGCCCTGAATTAAAGCAATAGGGAGTATAGAAAGCCAGAACAGATCAGGGCTCACAATGCAGGTTTTGTTTTGGTTGCGTATATGTATAATCTTTTCAAGGTATGCTCATAAAGCTTCTTAGAAATATGCTTTTTCAAAAATCATAACATGTGACATGGTCCTTTAGTTAGGCTGTGGTTGCGTACAATAGCAAACACATAGTCTTTTCAGGTTCCCTTCACTTCTGTCTTCTATTTCTCTTTCTGGTAGCCATCTGAAGGACTGCTGGTTTATGGAAGCCCAGCAGCAGTTGCAGAATCTATTAATGAGAATGAGGATACAAACTTGATTATAGATTACTCAATAGCCACAGTGCCTTTTAATGCCCTGGATAGCAGTGAGGTTCCTCCTCTCAGACCAGGTGATCCTGACTCACCTCTTCCCACAGATCAATCAGCCAGCAATGATTTAAGTCCAGAGTATTCTGAGATGTCAACTGAGCACTCACTCACATCTGCAACATTTACTGCTGGTATCTTTCAGGAGGTTAGTGATCAGAAGAGTGAAGATGAGCGGATGCAAGATCAGATCGCTAGCATAGACTCACAGATCCTGCCTGGGCAAGGTAAGCTGCTAAGCACCTCACTGAACAGGAAAGACCCTGCTGTTGGTCCCCGTATCAAGGAGATCCAAAAAGCAAACACTGCCCATACATTTAAAATGTGCATTTCCTTTCAGTGATATGAACTGTCTTGTGCAAGAATAGGTAATAGCTTAGGCATTGCCTATTTGTGCATTTATATTTTAATTTGTTTGGACCACATGGCTCCCCTTTATTTCAAACTCTCTCATGTTTTGCTTGAGGATTAACAGAATCTCGAAAGAAGATCATAGAAACCTTTGACCACTGCTGTGCAGTTTCTAGCACTCTAGTCTGGATATTCAACCTGTTTTCAGCAAACTCGGATGTTTTAACATAGCATCAAAAACGAACACGGATCTGGGATTGTGGCTTGGTTTGAAAGATGAAGGATTTTCTTGTATAAGATTAATAAACAGTTTTAGTGAGGATGTCTGTGGAGGGAAATAAACATCTGGCTTTGGCTAGTTTTCTTGTATTCTTGTGGTTTAGGGACAAAAGGTTTCTTCCTTCAGTACTGGCTGTAGTTTGCAGAGGCCTTTGACATCCCAAGCCATCCTCACCTTTACCTCCATCCCATTAGATGTGAAGCCGGGTTTGTGGACATCTTCCTGAGTATTAAGAAAAATAGAGGTAGTACTGAGGTGGTATTCCCTAAACCCAAAACACATTATGTTGCACAATGGTTGATCTGCCCATCTTTGGATCATGCTGCAAAGACAGAGTTACACAGAGAAAGTTTGATTTGGGGCTACAGAGGTACATGACCATTTTTGTCTTGGCTCTCAGCTACTGTCAAACCCTAAGGGTAGACTGTTTATCTTTAAGAGCACTTCTCTCTTGCCTTGCCTAACAGAAAAGATATCAGTGTATGTAATATTTTTCTTCTATATTATCCGTGACCCTGGTGGTTAATCTGGAACAATGGGCCTAGAGTACACTGTGCTTTAAGACTTTAGAAGACTCAGCAGGGAGTGCCAGGCTTCCTGTGGGCATCACAATGTGCATCTGCATGGAGAGAGCACCCTCCTCACTCCCATCCTGTCCTCAACTATCTCAGAGCAGGTGGGCTATTTTCGTGGAAGTAAAAAATGTACCAGTGTGAGGACATACATGCCATGTACATTCATAAAAGGAGGAAATGTAGCGATGTAGATGAAAAGTATTTTGCTAGAAGTATGAAAAGTATCAATGCACTGGCGGAAATGTACCGACAACCTGCACAGAAAAAGAATCAGATTGTATATTAAGAGCCTTTCCTTGGCCAGAAAACTCAAGAAAAGCATGATCCTTACAGAATAAGGTTCTCAAGAGCAAGGTGGAAAATCTGGCGCTCCTGGGTGCTAACAGCTCTTCGTGCAGGAGCAAGTGAGCCCAGGGTCCATTTTTGAGCTTGTGGCAAATATTCAGACATATAGCGATGATCCGGAAATGACCTGCTCTTGGGACTCCTACCACTGACAGCAAAAAGAAACAGCTGTTCCCAGTCTGACTCCCAGTCATTACCTCCATTTCCCTTATCTGGCTTTCCAGGATAGTCCCTGGATGTCTGGTGATAGGGTTCTGTGAAACTCCCTCCATTCCCTGGCAAATGTTTCCCCATCTGAAACAAATGATAAGGGACACTTCATGCTACATCCTTGTCCATTTTGTACCTTGGAAAATAAGGAATGGATCTGTCAGAAACTTTACATTGTAGGTGTGCAGACTCCGTACAATATAGCCTCTCTTCTATATGTGTGACACAGACCACACTTGGTATCCATGTTGTCCTGAGTAATATAAATTCCAAGGCCAGTATGTAGTTTCATTTACTGCATGTGGAACAACAACTGGGCAGAGTTTTCTGCATTTTCTAGGATGACTGTCATTCACCTGGTTGTTCACATGGGTCACACAAAACACATCAAGTCACACCCTGGCCAGTGTTTACGGCTGTCTCACTAAATGAAATGTCTGGCCTTGTAACCAGTGTAAAGACTGAAACTCTGCAGTTGAAAAGCTGGAGTGTGTCATGCATTTTCACTCTTCTCGCAGTAACTCTTGTCGTGACTCATCTAGAATCCTTGCTTTTTATTATTCTTTTTTTAAAAAATTCATTGTTTTGTATGACATTTTGAAACAAAAGAAATCTGCATTTCTGGCCAACTCCGTGGGCTGCATATCCTACAGATATGAAGCACACTTCTGCATATAAACTGATACTTACTTGAAAACAAAGGATTGTGTAAGCAATGGATTCCATCGTTCATAATTTGATTGTTAAGAACACCCAGCCCAGTTTATTCATGCAGGGGGCCCCTATCTTTTAACACTCTCAGAATGTTGTACCAATCAAAACAAATACAATTCCTTTTTAACAACATGGACATTCCCTGCAGATAAACACATCTTTCATCTCTGTCTCATTAGTGTGTAGACATAGTCGCAAATCCGCTTCATGTTCCAGATTGCTGGATTTTAGACGTTTCTTTGTTTTTTTGGCAGACTGACAGACTCTAATGCTGTTGGCTATTTAACCAAAGAAGCAGAAGAGGGTTATTTGTTTCTAGCATAAATGGGAACACATATTGTGTCGAAGAGCTTCCTTTCCATTTATCCTGATCTGTTTTGAATGTGGCTTGATTTGGAGTCATTTTACCATAAGCGGATAGGAAGCTGCTATTAGCAGCAGGTTCCAAAGGTGATGTCCTTTTTTCCCCTTCCAATCCTTCATCTCTGCACCAAGGCTTTGCATAGGGTCGAATACCAGCATTCTCAGTTTATAAACCTTTACCCCTCCTAGGCCTTGTTCCTGGGTCCCAGAAATCCAAGACTAATCCTACCTCAGATTTGCTACTCCTGCCTAGAACTTCTCCAGCAAAGACAATCACAGAATGGTGTGCTATAGGGAGGAATGCGACTAATGCTATAAATTTATTTAAGCCCTTCATACCAAATTCACTTTAACATCCATGTATGTTTATCAGTGCTTACAGGTGTGATAGATAATACTATATGTAGAAATATGTATACTCTGTGGCTGAAATTCTGTTGCTTAGTTAAAGCGAATTACCAAATGTTGAGAAATCTCTGTGGACATTATCTGTTGCATACTGAGTCATACAATTTTGTGTGCAGTGGATAATGAGTACTATACAGAGATTTCTTCACTTACAAACAAATGTGTCTATAAATGGCTCTGTCCACATAACTACTACACAAGAGTATTTCAGACTCTGACTTTTAGTAAGTCCCAAACTAACTCATGACAATTGAGCTCATTTACTGTTTGCTTTGTTATCTCAAGAGGTAAATGAAACTAAGGTCAAAATCATCCATACTATGTGAAAAAAGACAGTGAAGAAAGAGGGACAAAAATAAATTCATTTGAAATGTATTTGAGGAGAACCTTACAGATACTGCAGATAGCCAGAAAAGCAGAAAAGTAGGTGCTCAATAAAATCAAACCTGAACTCTCACTAGAACAAAAATGAGTAAACCAAGGGTCATCAGTGGCCCAAATGGATGTTTATGATGAACAAAAATTGTCAGTTTAAGGAGGAACAATATTCTTCATTGTTTTTAACACAACACACTACTAATGAGTCTTCCAGCTTAGAAATTTCTGCACTCAATATTGCCTACTACACAAGCTTCTACATGCAGTTTTTCCTCAAGCAGTGTTCTTCAGGTATTTTTCCCTAGCAATATTTATGCACACTTTCTCCTAATATATGCATTTCTCCACTTAAAATTGCATAATTGTGTCACCGAATTCTGAACTGAAATAATAAACATGAATTGCATTCCAGTTGGCATATTTATTCAGGACGTGCAAATGTGGTACGTTTTTATTCCGATCTGAATAAAACAAACATTCCTAAAGATTCCTGAATTGCTAGTTTCTTATCTAGCTTACATTCCATCGTTGGTTATGCAGATGTGGCCATAAAAGGAGAATTTCACACTGGACCCAGCCAGTGGCACCCTCCACAATGAAGCACTTCAGTGCTTAAGTTTCTATTGGATTAAAATACATCCAGAGCAGAAATGTGGAAGGAATTTCGCCTGAAACCCAAGAGATTTGAAAAGCTCTTGCGGACATGCAAGCTGTGCCAGGTAAGAACTTTTATATTATTTTTTCATGGCCTTTTAGAAATCTTTTTGATCATAAGCTGACAAAGTTACTATTAATATTTTCTTCAGGAGTCCTGAGTATCACTCTATGTCTTCCAATGTCATTTCCTGCTACTGGAGTCTTAAGAAAGCTTGACATGAACACAGTGCTTTGAAGACTGAAAGAAGTAAGTCTAACGACGTGCATTTTAAAAGAATTGCATCAAATGTTGGTGAATATGAGGCTTGGGATCAGATTGGTAGATACTGGTCTTTTATATGGGCTGTTCCCATGACAACATTTGTATGTTGTTTAGAATGTTTTTCAGCTCTAATAGATGAAATACTGAAAGCACTATTAGATTATACGTACTGTGGGGATTTGGTGGAAACAGTTACAAGCTGTTTTAGATATTAGATATTACTGGGATAAAGCTACTGACATTGATGTTCAGTCAGCTTATGCTTCTGTGTTCAGACATCCACATTTTCATCAGGATGTTAAAATATAAAAACTTTGCTCTGTACAAAGGAAGTCTAATTTTTTTTTTACTCTGGTCAAAATCTTTAAAAACATATTAATACAAAGTAAATAGTTTAGGGAAGAACTGAATAAAGTCTGTCAATAAAACCTTGCTGTAATCGAAAACAATTGACAAAAGGAAAAAATTTTGTCTACTCTGAAAATGCAACTGATAGATCACATCATTTTTACACTCAAAAAGGTATATAATTCTCCTATCCTGTATTGTTCCCTCTTTCTCTCTATCTCTCAGAAACAAAGTTATTTCCACTCCCTTGACAACACACATGTACAGTATGTAACAATATATTTGTACTCACCTTTTTGATGCACTTGCTATTTTATTTTAACTATTGATACTCGGTTTTTCTCTCTTATTAATGCAAAGTTGGGCTATCTCTAGAGCAACGTGAGTGGAGGAGGGCTATTGCTCCAAAGCTGTGCTCCCAAGAAGGAATGGCAAGTGAAAAAAAAAGGGAGCGTCCAAATGTTTAATTAGCTAAATTTCATTTTTGCTTTTTTCTTTAAAACTGTATTCATGTTTAAAATTATATTACACAAGGTTATATTTCAGCACTGCAATGAAATTTAAAAATGTTAAAATTGCTGCAGTATGTAAAAACTATATGTAACATAGAAGAACAAGTGAATACATGAAAATGTGTAGGTGATACATTCATTTTTTTTTTAAAAAAAGTATGTGTTGTGTGTAGATCTGATCACTAAAAGATTTCATTCTATCAAACTTTTAATAATTATTTTTCAATTATTAATTATTCCTTCCATAAAAAATATTTTGCTAAGTACACAATTCCCAGTCTCAAACATAGCAGTACACACTAATTAATAAATGAGTTTTGAACTTTAAAACTTTATTTTTAATTCATAAAAATGTATGAACGTTTCATTCTTTGAAAGTCAAGTTTATTCCTTTAAGCTATTTCATTAAATATTCATGCTTGTTCATTCATTCATATCTACCTTTATTTAACTATTTATTTAGATTTATTGAGGGGGACGTGGTGGCACTGCGGGCTAAACTGCAAAAGCCTTTGTGTGCTGCAGGGTCAGAAGACCAGCAGTCGTAAGATCGAATCCATGCGATGGAGTGAGCTCCCGTCGCTTTGTCCCAGCTCCTCGCCAAGATCGAATCCATGTGACAGTCCTCGCCAACCTAGCAGTTCAAAAGCATGTAAATGCAAGTAGATAAATAGGTACCACCTCGGTGGGAAGGTAGACAGTGTTCCGTGTATAGCCGCACTGGCCACATGACAATGGAAACTGTCTTCGGACAAACGCTGGCTCTATGGCTTGAAAAACGGGATGGGCACCACCTCCTAGAGTCGAACACAACTGATTAAAATGTCAAGGGGAACCTTTACCTTAGATTTATTAAGACTACGGATGTAATGAGGACACTCACACATCTGCTACCACCACCAGGTCTGCTCTCCCACACTTTGGAGCTTGTGGTTGGCTATCCACTCATCAGCCTGGCAGGGAGACTCGTCTCCCCTTCTTGTGCCAGGAGTGGATAGTCGACCATGAGCTCCGGAGTGATTGAAAGGGAGAGTGGAGCTGCCAGTGGTAGCGGACAAGTGAGTGAAAGGTCCGGTCCTAGGGGGTCAGACCCTCATTACATCCAGCTGTGCAGGGGTATTCCTATTTGCATATGAAAATGAATACCCCCATCTCTAATTCAGATTTTTTTAAAAATAGACAGGATCAGCATCAGAGTATCACAGTTCTGTGGTTCTCTAACGTTCTGTGGTTCCCCAAGCTTAACCACAGTGGCCAGAATCTGTTAGTTACACAGCATCAATGGCTGCTAGTTAATAAGACATCACTTGTACTCATCATCATATGTGAATTGTATGTGTTGGGATACAACCAAGGATGCAAGCAACAACCTGCTAACAAGCATTAATTCACCACAGTCGTTTATGCCTTTGCACTTAAGCTGGTGTAACTTACCAATAGGATTCTGGTCTTTAAAAAACAGTTCCCACTGAAACACTTAAATAACAAATAGGATTACAATAAACAATCAAGGTTTGAAACAAAAAATTGCTGAGAAAACACCTTGGGAAAAGGTGGCCAATTAAGCTTTTTCTGCTTAAATTAACATACAGTGGGCCCTCTACTTACGAACTTAATCCGTTCCGGAAGGAAGTTTGTAAGTCGAAAAGTTTGTAAGTCGAGTCAGCATTTCCCATAGGAATGCATTGAAAACCATTTAATCCGTTCCAGCTGTTTTCGGTTCTTAAGTCGAGCAGCTGTTTGTAACTCAAATCATTAGTTCCCATAGGAACTAATGCAAAGCCGGTTAATCCGTTCCTACCACGAGGGGCAGATTTTTTTTCTTTTTTTCCTTTTAACCTAAGATGACTTAGGTTTTAAAAAAAGGAAAGAAAAGACGGAGGGAAGGAGGGAACAGACACCTTTTCAACAGAACACTTTGAAAAGCACATTTTCAGCCAAGACAAGCACCTTTTGGGGCGGAAAGGGACAGCAAATGAGAGAGGGAACAAGCACCTTTCAGACAACAGAACACCTTGAAAAACACTCCTCAGCACAAAGAGAGAAATGGCTCTGAACTCCATTTTTACCCTGCTTGCACGCAAGCTTTCTTCCCAACAGAATTCCTCAGCACAAAGAGAGACATGGCTTGCTTCCAGCAAGTTTCTGGCAAGCATGCAGCCATTTTAAAACTGTAAAATCTACCCAGCAAGACCCATGCCTCCATTGCAAAAATGCCCACATTTTAACCAGACAAATTCAGAACACATACACACACAGAGAGACACACACAGCAAGGAAAGATTCCAGCAAGCATGCAGCCATTTTAAAACTGTAAAATCAAGACCCATCAGAACTCAGAAATCCCCCGACCTAGCCCTACCCCCCACCAAATAGCTGCAAAAAAAACCCCTGTACAGTAAAGTAAAAACATAGTGTACTCACCCAGAACAGGCAGTCTCTCTGCTTCAAAAAAGAATGTCAAAAATAAAAAATCCAAAAATCCAATTTTTTTAAAAAAAGCCCCAAAAATTAGAATACTGTACTGTATTGTCTGTACAGCACTGTACCAGTACCAGGCAGTACCAGGCAGTCTGAAGACTGTCTCTCTATCCACTCTGTAAATGTTGGGAAGAGCGAGGAAGAAGACAACCTCCCTCTTCGCTGGCCAACGGTTAACTGAAAGTTCAAATTTTGCTCTTTCCCTGCCTCCCTCACTGGGTTTTTTGTTGTTGTTCATAACTCGAACCACAGGTTCGTAAGTAGAGCCCACTGTTTCTATGGATCGGGTTCGTAACTCGGACACATATTCGTAAGTAGGGCCTGCTGTTTTCTATGAGATTGGGTTCGTAACTTGAAATGTTCATAACTAGGGCCGTTCGCAAGTAGAGGGCCCAGTAGAAGGATTGCTTACTGCCTCACTGAAGTTCCTCTTTTGATTTAGTAGTTTGCCACTTCAGTTGTTTGAATTTTAGTGAGGAACTGTCAGAATTAAACTAAGATAAAACAAAGCTGGCATTAGTTTGGGGACAGTGAAAGATACAAAGGAGAGCTTGTGATGGTAGGAAGAGAAAGAGAAAGAAGGGGGTGGCCATGTCCACTGACTGCACCCACAGGTTTCAGCCCCTATCGTTCCTAGATTACCAGTGAGACAATGTGCCTCTCAACCGAAGAAAATAGGAATATTCTAGGAGGAGTGAGGAATTTACAGTCTTTCAGATGTGGGTGCTCTGTAGCTGTCATCAGCTGTACCCATCACACAAAATGGCAAGGGATGATGGACATTCTATTTGACAACTTCTGGAAGGACACAATTTCTTCATTCTTGTAGTAACATACTGCTGTCCAATCTATGAAGGAATTCAAAGGAAGCAATTGGAGGTGCGAAACAGGCTCCTTCGCAGCCAGACAACTTTAAATGTTATCCCATAAATTTACATTAAAAGGTGCTCCAAGCCGAGCAAGACGTGTCATTGGCTGATCTGCCTTGGTACTTTGAAAAGTACACAAACACTATAAGTCTAGGTAACTGAAGACAAACAGGCACTCAAATATAACCAGCATGGTTGGTGCTGTTTTTCACTTTCTAATTCTCTGTTTGCTTTGTTCTTCTTTTTTAGGAATCATTCATGGCTTATTATATGAAGCTCGCAAGTGATTCGTGCTTGTTTGGTCCTTGTTACTGCCCAGTCTAATAAACACTAGTACCATAGAGCTGTGCAGCATTCTTACATAATTCCCTTGTGTTTCTAAGTGGGAAAGGAATTGTCCAATCTGTCATATAGCAGACCATTGTCGATGAGAATCCCAGGGTTTAAGCATCCTGCTTACAATCAATTTACAACCATTTCTCCACTTAGGAAAAAAAAAACACATGCATTTGTTGTATACTGAGCTTGTCGGAACATGATTTCAAATTGCTTCCAGGGAGTATACTTAAATATACAGATGTGCCTCTTTGTCTTACCTGTGGTGATTTTAGTTCTTTATTGCATGCTGTAAAGAATTCCGATACATAGAAATCAATTCAGTCAGACTTTGACTATCTGAGGGACATACTTTTTTTCCTTCTCCAGATAACATCTAAGCCAACTTATCACCTCTCACATTTTGAAAATCTTAGACATGCTGAAAAATCAAACATTCCATGATTTATTGCGGTTCTCTGGTAGTATTTTAGAGATACATGCCACTTTTTCTCTAGGAAAAAATAGCTTACTGCCAAAAGACTGTGCAAGTGCTCAACAGATTTGTACTAGCAAGATGTAATCTGAAGGTTCACTGGCATGCAGACAGTGCTGCTGTGTTTCAGTTTAAGATATGTTGGCCATAGGCCTTAGAATTCCTGTTTCTAGCATCTTTCCTAGCCTACTGGCTCTAAGCTGCTTTATATCAGAGCAGCTACTACAGTGGCAGCCAGATGGGCTATGCTTCTTTAGAAATATTGAAAATATGTTTAGAACATTGACTACACAGTCAGAATTCACATTCATTTACTTTTGTGTGCAGTTGGTAAAACGATACAGGAAAACTGAGCAGCTTCAAGACTGAAAGGTGGGGAGAGGGAGTTCTGACAAAAATTATGTCAGAAACTCTTATTGTGTTTCATAGGAAGTTCCCACTGTGTCATGATCCAAGGCTCTAGTTTCCTCTCCTCAGGAGAAAAAGCCTCTGATACAAACCTCTGAGACGCATGGAAGCCTCTCAACATCTAGAAGAACCCCCCTGGGACCATCCTCCTGCTTTTAGAGGAGGTCCCATTGCATTCTAAGTATCCAGGGACTTGGAAGCCCCCACTAGGTCTTGGTGGCCCTGCTAATTCAAAGGACTCAAAAACAACATGTTTTGTGGGAAGGAAAGCCTCTCGTAGTGTGTATGGCATGAAGTAGCAGATTTTAGCCAGCTCAAATCAGTCCAGGGAACAAATGAAACAGTAGGATAGGACATCATTATAGGATGATAGAGCATGGGTGTTTCAGTGATGCAAGTTCACGAGAGCTGGAGGAGCGATGATGCCTGCATTTACCTCCCAGGGACAGATAACCAATAAAAAAGAGAGAAACATAGAGAGCAAGAAGAGTTTGTGCTCTGACAAACAGACATCTTCCACCACTTAAAAAAAGTCCTGCTTCTAATGACAGACTCCCTGGTATTGTCTAGTTTGACTCCTTGTCAATCAGGATTTGGAGCCTCACACAAAATGAGCAAGTCTGGCTGCCAGCTGTTCCCAGCTGGGAACTCTCCATGGTTCTGGTTTCTCCTGACTTAGTTAACCAGTCAGCTGCTTTGAACTGGGCATAGCTTTAGAACTTTCCCTAGACCAACGTGACTGGAGCCTGCTCCTTGCTATTCCTTACCTTGCCTATTGGCTCAAGCTCCTTCATCCTTCACCCATCTGCTTGGCACCCTAATGCTAACTTGATCAGAGCTGGCTTACCAGACCCTGTACTGGGTTTCTTGATAGTCTCCCTGGGAAGCTGAGTACAGCAACAGCCCTGCCTGGACTGAAGCTCATACCGAGTTCCACCAGAAATGGTACTTTGGCACCAACACAAGCTTCCTTTGGAATGCTGATGTTAGCCTCTGTGGCAATTGCTGTCAGGACCATGGCAGGATTAAGGAAAATTTACCTACTCAGGCTTCCTCTTGAATAGAAAAACATGTGAATATTGGTAATATGAATTCAACCAATACCATGACTAGTTTAAATTGGAATCTGTTTTTCACTGTAATTGACTCTACATTTTATGCTACAGTGCATTGTTCCCGGAAAATTGACCTAAGTCTTCTAGGTAAAATATTTTACTTTTTATTATTTATTACATACTAATTTGGGGCAAGTCCTGTTGAACTCAGACTTACTTCCGATCAGACATGCATGGGATTGCACTGGAAATGAAGGGCAAGGCAGTGCAGGTGGATGCTGCAGATGAAATCATAAAAAACAGTGAGGTGGGGGGACATTGCCCGTGAATTTAAAGGGCCACCCTCAGATATTCACCATAACTATCAATATTCTTGCTTAGCATTGTGTTTTGTACGTATAGCTATCTGGTTTTAATGTCTTTTGTGGTACAGGTTTCTGAACAAAACAGCTTTTACATATTACAGTATTGTAGGTTTAACTGTCCCATCCAAACAAGAGAAATCATCTTGAGCTATTCTTAGTACTACTTATGGCCAGGTGAGGGCCTCAGCCTACACAGAATTACACCTCTTTAATTATGTGATCATGCTCATTTCTACTGTGAAATCAAACTCACTGGCCAAAATCTGATTGGTGTAAACTTACTCCATGGAAGCTATATAATATCATAATCTGGTCTTGTAAATTTTAATTTTAATTAATTGAAAGCTTCCTATTCCTCCCTTTCAGGTTCCAAAGGTCCCTCGGGCTCCTTTTTTCTCTTGAGAGGATTATACTCAATTATACTCAAGATGGGTATAATTGATAAAGGATTTTCTAGGTAAAGAACACAGAAGTGCTTTACCATTCCCTTCCTCTGTGGGTGCCTTGGAACTGTGCAGCTTGCCCATGAGTACTCAGGCGGCTCTTCTTCCAGGAGGCAGAGTGGGGAATTAAACTCCCAACATCTGGTTCCGCAGCCAGATGCCTAAGCCACTGAACTATTCAGCCAGTTATTCAAGATGGGAGGAGAGAGCTTTAACAGCCAAAAGTTGCTGCCAGATTGCCCAATGCAGCCAGCAGGGATCTAGCAGCAACAGGATGCTGCCTACTAAGTACAGTCAGACTTACTTGCAAGGAAATGGATATAGGATTGCAGCCTATCCTTCTTGAAATTCATACCTTTTAACAAGTTTACAGTGCAATTTTGTGCACGTTTACCCAGATGTGTAAGCCAATTCCATTTAATTGGTCTTATTACCAGGTAGGAAGATACAGGATTGCATTCTATGCTGTGGCCTGTTGCTTTTGGTCCTTAACTCACATCTTTTTCTTTAATGCTCTATCAGTTTCTTTTACTAGTTATTTTATTAGCACCTGAGAAGCAATACCATTTTATTAAGTAGAGGAAGTGGAATTACATATGGATTAAGGATTTAGTAAACAGCAAGGTTGACCTTTTTTTATATATATGACTGCTCTAAAATGACCTGAAATTGACCTCCTGTCATATTAACTATCTAATTAGACTCATGCTGAGTTTGATACTCTTATAGAATTCAGAACACTCCTCTTACTTTATAATCCTCTCATTAGGAAACATTAATTCTGTAAGCTGCCTAAAATAATTAAAGTACAAATAAGCGAAAATATACTGCATTCACGTAACTGAAGCTCAGGAAAATACATTTGAAACAAAAATCCCAACAAGACATTTTTACAGTCATGAAATGCAGCTCTTCGTTAGCTTAGAAGACACTTTTGTAATGTAGATGTGACATCCATTGTGAATGGGAAATTGTCATTCTTAGCTTTGTATGACGCTGACTCATGGGGTCAAGTGTTGTGAGTGACTCTGCTCACTGGAGGACATAGGTGGACCCAGAGGGGGATGGACACCCATCAAAAGTTGCTCACCTCTACTGGCCTTTGCTAGGCCCTGCATATGTGTGTAGGGGACGTAGTGGCACTGCGGGTTAAACTGCTGAAGCCTCTGCGCTGCAAGGTCAGAAGACCTGCAGTCATAAGATTGAATCCATGTGACTGAGTGAGCCCCTGTTGTTTGCCCCAGCTCCTGCCAACCTAGCAGTTCGAAAGCATGCAAAATACAAAAATGCGAGTAGATAAATAGGTACCACCTCGGTGGGAAGGTAAATGGCGTTCCGTGTCTAGTCACGCTGGCCCCGTTATCACGGCGGAGTGTCTGTGGACAAACGCTAACTCTGTGAGTTGGAAATGGAGATGAGCACCACCTAGAGTCGGACACAACCGGACAAATTGTCCAGTTTTTTACATACGTCTGTGAGGGAGCTCTCCCCACAATCCTAAGTGTATTATTTTAGTGGACATAGAAATGGCATTGTGCTGTAGTGATGTGAGCTGTGTATGTGAGTAATAACAATATACCACTATGCAGTTTCGCCCACTCACACATCCCACATGTTCATGTGACAATTTGCAAGACGCAACCCCTGTTGCTATTTAAAAGAAAAGCCATTTTCACACAGTTGCCCAAACACATCCACATCACATAGATAGATAGATAGATAGATAGATAGATAGATAGATAGATAGATAGATAGATAGATAGATAGATAGATAGATAGATAGATAGATAGATAGATAGATAGATAGATAGACAGACAGAGAGAGAGAGAGAGAGAGAGAGACAGACAGACAGACAGACAGACAGACAGACAGACAGACAGACAGATGTACTACCCGAGAGTTTCCTTTTTCAGACTGTATCTTATGCATCCTTATGAAAATGTCCTCTAAGATTTACATCAGACTAAAATAATAAAAATAATAATAAATAAAATAAAAAGATAATAAAATGTCCTCTAAGATTTACCACAGACTAAAATAATATTGTTACTCAACTAAAGACAAACTCATAAATGAGTTGTTATTATCCGATGTTTTTTGTCCCTTACACCCATACCAGTGTGGGATATGTAAGTATTAATGCAGTTGGGAAAACGTATTATGAATATTTTTAAGACTGCTCTTGAGGGGAAGATTGGGGAGAGGCATTAAGAAACATGAAGGAAAATCCCAACAGATAAATATTTCAAA